AAGGACAGTGTTGACATGCAGTGGGGTTGTTAACCATTGTCATAGGGCAACATGTGTACTAACTGTTTAACGAGAAACTATTTTGTTCTGTAAATCTTCATCTAAAGTGAGAATAGCAGCACAACTGGAAGAACATAATCGATGTCACTGAATTGTGCATGTAGAAATTTTTGAAATGGTGTATCTTTGGCCACGTATATTTTTACCAAAAAAAAAAGAAAAAGGTCAAGAAGGGAGAGGGTTGTCATGTCGTGGGGTTGTTAACCAATGTCATAAAACAATACGTACTGACTGTTTAATGAGAAACTATTTGTTCCGTAAACCTTCACCTAAAGTACAGTTTAAAAAAAAAAAAAAGGCAATTCAACCTAACTCCCCCAGAAGGAGGGGGCAGGGAAGGAGGACAAAACCTGGAGAGTATTAGGAAAAAAAGAAAGTTGAGTTGTTAGAGTTAGCAAATAAAAATATTATACACGTAGTTACATTTGGAAAACCCTGGTGGCGTAGTGCTTAAGAGCTATGGCTGCTAACCAAAAGGTGGGCAGTCCGAATCCGCCAGGCGCTCCTTGGAAACCCTATGGGGCAGTTCTTCTCTGTCCTTTAGGTTCACTATGAGTCAGAATTGAGTCAGTGGCAATGGGTTTGGCTTGTTTGTTTTCGGTTACATTTGAATTTCAGATAAAGACTATTTTTTAACGTAAGTATGGCCCATACATGATTTGGGACATACTTACACTAAAAAATTGTTCGTTATATGAAATTCAAATTTAACAGGGGCGATCTGTATTTTATCTGGCAACACTGAACAGAGGGGCCAAAACTCTAAGACCAGCCAATGGGCTCCAGGAAGGACTACTGCAGGATCTCCAAACTGATGCTTCCTTTATATAGTATTTAATTTTTTAAGGAGGGTGGGAACTAAGAGGACTGGAGAGAACTGCCCACAGAGGCAAAGACAAGAAAATCAGGGGGTGCTGAAAGATTCATTAAATCAATTAAGTATTACGGCTGGAGGGGGAAGTCTGGACCTGCGCTGAGTATCAGGCACTAGGGTATACACAGGGCGAGGGCTGCCCTGAAGAGCCGAAGCTGGCAGACAGCCCGGGTCTGAGCCAGAGGGGAAAGCGGTGAGGGGACAAAAGCATTGCGAAGATGGTCTGCAGACCCGGGTGTGCGGGTAGAGGGTGGCGGGCAAGGGGGAGGCTAAGAGCGGCCTGGCTCCCGTAATACAAGAGATAGGCGCAGTGAGGGCTGTCAGAGGCTCAGAGTGTGGATTCTGCGCAGAGGTCTGCGACTCGGCCGCCATCGCTGGGCAGCAATCGAGAGAACCCAGCGAGAGCCTGGAGAGGCGGAGGTCCGGGGGCCCAGGAGTTCCGCGCCGAGAACGGGTGACGGGCGGCGCTAGGACCCGGGAGGCGCGGGAAGAGCGGAAGCGCAGCGAAGGGCGGCTTGCGGGCCGCGGGCGGCGGGCGGCGGGCGGCGGCAGCGGTTCGCAGGTGAGGAGCAGCGCAGGACCCCGCCCGGGGCCGGGGGCGGGCAGCAGGCTCCCGGCGGCCGGGCCAGAGGGGAAACGCTCCTCGGCTGCGCCAGAGAGTGGGGCTCGAAGGAGAGGGGAGCGCGGGCCCGCGGATGTCCGGGAGGCGCGCGGCCTGCGCTGGAATGAGATGGGGGCGGAGAAGGGGGACGCGGAGGAAAAGGCCTGCGCTGGGGTGAGGGCCAGGGAGCGTCTAGGAGAAGCGGCCGGGACTGCAGACCCTGCACCGGGGTTTATTTCCGACTCCGCCGCGTGACTTGCTGCTTGCCTGGAAGCCGGGCCTGTGCCCACCAGTAAGAGATGTCTCGACTCTTGTTGTTCTGGGACTTTTCTACCCTGGAGCTAAACCCTTCACCCCGGACTCCCACCCTTACCCCTGGTTTGAGGCCGAGGCCGGGAGCGAGGAGGGAGGGCTCTGCTGGTAAAGGGAGCTCGGATCTCCAGGCTCCAGCAGTTCACTTCCTCACTCGGCCCGCGGGACCCCGTGACCCTCACGTGCCTCTCCACCTTCTGGCCTCTTCGCTCTAGGAGTGGGGCTGAACTGGATTCTTAGACACTTCTTTTGCATCTCCCATCGATCACTGAGGCGGGGTAGTGCCCGGGCCTCCCTGATTCCTTTTAGTTGACTCCAGCAGCTTAAACCGTGGTGGTTCCTGATGCCTTCGCAGAAGTGTTTAAACTGCGGTATAGACCCTGGGAGGCTCCATGGTTTTTGTTTTGTTTTATGGACAGTTCTCTAAGAGAAATATAATGCGAGCCGCACATGTGATTTTAAAAATAAAACGATACAAGTGAAATTAATGTAGTAATTTGTTTAACCCAATAGATTAAAAATACGATCATTTTATCATGAATCAGTATAAGAATTATGAATAAGATATTTTACATTCTAAATCTTTGAATTCAGGTGTGTGTTTTACACTTACAGTACATCTCAGTTCAGACTAGCCACATTTCAAGTGCTCAGTAGCCACGTGTAGCTAGCCAGTGGCTACTAATTGGACAGTGCCATTATAAAGACCTCATTCCTGGCCTACAGACTCAAATCTAAACTCCTTGCCAGTGGTATTCAGCGTGTTTCACAGTCTGGCCTCTTTATTTAGTTTTTTTCTGCTACTTTCTCAAGGATGGTTATCTTGTCATAACTCAAGAACAGTTACCATTCTCCTAGCACACCTTTGTTCAAGCTGTTCCTTCTACCGGGAACACTCTCCCTCTCATCCCGTCCTACCTAGGCCTGGTAGGGAGGTACAGCTTCTGCTAAGAAGCTTTTCCTGACTCCCCTAGCCCCAGAAGGAATGTATCACTCCTACCTCAGGGCTTCCTTGCACTGTATTCATGGCTGAATTAGAACACTTACAACAGGGTGTTCAATTGTTTTTGAGGTTGCCTCCCTGACTAGTATAGTGTCTTATTTATCTTTGTTGTGATGAAGGCTGGCACCTAATAGATCATCAGTGGATGTTTGCAGACAGAATGGGGGAATTGCTAACCAGCTATACTCAGTCTCATAGTTCCTGAAGGAGTTTGCTACTTCCCAGTTTAAAGAGATTTATGTCTGCACTACTCCCCCCAGCCTCCACGCAAAAACACTCCTATCCCATACGTGGTAACTAGTGATAAAGAATGCATCTCAAGATGTGCACAGAAGTATCTTTTACCTTTTTTCCTTTCTCAAGCTTACAGAGGGGAAAACTGAGGCACAGAACTAAGTTAGGATAGCCAGAAAATTTGCATCAGTGTCAATACAAAGGTTCACTTCTGGGAAGCTGCGGATGTCCTTCCTGGAAGTCAGGGAGGAACTCACAGCAGGATAAAATTTGAAGAGTAAAATGGATCATCTCAGGTGAAAAAAAGTGCTGGTTTGGGAAGGGTTTGTTGTTGTTAGGTGCCATTGAGTCGGTTCCAACTCATGGTGACCCTGTGTATAACAGAACAAAACACTACCAGTCCTGAGCCATCCTCATGATGGTTATGCTTCAGCCCATTGTTACAGCCACTGTGTCAGTCCATCTCGCTGAGGGTCTTCCTTTTTTTTTTTGCTGATCCTCTACTTTGCCAAGCATGATGTCCTTCTCCAGGGATTGATCCCTCCTGATAACATGTCCAAACTATGTGAGACAAAGTCTCACCATCCTCACTTCTAAGGAGCATTCTGGCTGTACTTCTTCCAAGACATTTGTTCTGGCAGTCTGTGGTATATTCAGTATTCTTTGCCAACCCCATAATTCAAAGGCATCAGTTCTTCAATCTTCGTTATTCATTGCCCAGCTTTCACATGCATATGAGGCGATTGAAAATACAATGGCTTGGGTCTGGGGCATCTTAGTCCTTAAACTGATAGCTTTTCTAAAGAGGTCTTTTGCAGCAGAGTTGCCCAGTGCAGTGCATCAGTTTGATTTCTTGACTGCTGCTTCCATGGGTGTTGATTGTGGATCCAGGTAAAATGAAATTCTTGACTACTGCAATCTTTTCTCCGTTTATCATGATACTGCTTGTTGGCCCAGTTGAGAGGATTTTTGTTTTATGTTGAGGTGTAATCCATACTGAAGGCTGTGGGCTTTGATCTTCATCAGTAAGTGCTTCAAGTCCTCTTCACTTTCAGCAAGCAAGGTTGTGTCATCTGCATATTGCAGGTTGTTAATCAGTCTTCTTCCAGTCCTGATGCTGTGTTCTTCATATATTCCAGTTTCTGGATTATTTGCTCAGCATACAGATTGAATAAGTATGGTGAAAGGATGCAACCCTGATGCACACCTTTCCTGACTTTAAACCACGCAGTATCCCCTTGTTCTGTTTGAATGGCTGCCTCTTGATCTATGTACAGGTTCCTCATGAGCACAATTAAGTGTTCTGGAATCCCCATTCTTCCTGAAATGTTATCCATAATTTGTTATGATCCACACAGTCCAATGCCTTTGCATAGTCAGTAAAATACAGGTAAAGATCTTCCTAGTATTCTCTGCTTTCAGCCGGAATCCATCTGACATCAGTACTGATATCCCTTGTTCCATGTCCTTTTCTGAATCCGGCTTAAATTTCTGGCAGTTCCCTCTCAATGTACTGCTGCAGCCGCTTTTGAATGATCTTCAGCAAAATTTTACTTGCTTGTGATATTCATGATATTGTTTGATAATTTCCACATTTGGTTGGATCACCTTTCTTTGGAATAGGCGTAAATATGGATCTCTTCCAGTCGGTTGGCCAGGTAGCTGTCTTCCAAATTTCTTGGCATAGTTGAGTAAGCACTACCAGTGCTGCAACCATTTGTTGAAAACATCTCAGTTGGTATTCTGTCAATTTCTGGAGCCTTTTCACCAATGTCTTTAGTGCAGCTTGGACCTCTTCCTTCTATACCGTTGGTTCTTGATCATATGCTGCCTCCTGAAATCGTTGAATGTTGACCTGTTCTTTTTGGTACAGTAACTCTGTGTATTCCTTTCATCTTCTTTTGATGCTTCCTATGTCCTTCAGTATTTTGCCCATAGAATCCTTCAGTATTGCAACTCGAAGCTTGAATTGTTTCTTCAGTTCTTTCAGCTTGAGAAATACCAAATATGTTCTTCCCTTTTGGTTTTCTAACTCCAGGTCTTTGGACATGTCGTTATAATACTTTACTTTGTCTTCTCCAGCCGCCCTTCTGTTCAACGCTTTTACTTCATCATTTCTTCCACGCGCTTTAGCTACTCAACATTCAAGAGCAAGTTTGAGTCTCTTTTGACATCCATTTTGGTCTTCTTCTTTCCTGTCTTTTTAATGACGTCTTGCTTTCTTCATGTATGTCCTTGATGTTATTCCACAACTTGTCTGTCTTCGGTCATTAGTGTTCAGTGCATCAAATCTGTTCTTGAGATAGTCTCTAAATTCAAGTGGGATACACTCAAGGTCGTACATTGGCTTCCGTGGACTTGTTCTAATTTTCTTCAGCTTCAACTTGAACTTGGATATGAGCAATTGATGGTCTGTTCCACAGTGGCCCCTGGCCTTGTTCTTACTAGTGATATTGAGCTTTCCCATTGTCTCTTTCCACATATGTAGTCTATTTGATTCCTGTGTATTCCATCCGGTGAGTTCCACGTGTATAGTATCCGTTTATGTTGCTGAAAAAAGGTATTTGCAGTGAAGAAATCATTGGTCTTGCAAAATTCTATCATGCGATCTTCGGCATCATTTCTATCACCAAGGCTGTGTTTTCCAACTACAGATCCTTCTTTGTTTCCAACTTTCGCATTTCAATCACCAGTAATTATCAATGCATCCTGATTCAATGTTCGGTCAATTTCAGACTGCAGAAATTGGTAAAAATCTTCAATTTCTTCATCCTCGTCCTTTAGTGGTTAGTGCGTAAATTTGAATAATAGTCGGATTAACTGGTCTTCGTTGTAGGTGTACGGATATTATCCTATCACTGACAGTGGTGCTCTTCAGGAGATCTTGAAATGTTCTTTTTGACGATGGATGCAATTTGTTATTCCTGGCATAGTAGACCATATGATTGTCCAGTTCAAAATGGCCAATGCCAGTCCATTTCAGCTAATGCCTACGATATCGATGTTATGCATTCCATTTCATTTTTGACGATTTCCCATTTTCCAAGATTCATTCTTCGTACATTCCGTATTCCAATTGTTAATGGATGTTTGCAGCTTTTTCTTCTCATTTTGAGTTGTGCCACATCAGCAAATGAAGGTCTCGAAAACTTGACTCTATCCACGTCATTAAGATCTACTCTTCTTTGAGGAGGCAGCTCTTCTCCAGTCCCCCAGTCGTACTTTGGTGCCTTCCAACCTGAGGGGCTCATTTTCCGGCACTATATCAGACAATGTTGTGCTGCTATTCATAAGGTTTTTACTGGCTAATTTTTTTCAGAAGTAGACCACCAGGTCCTTCTTCCTAGTCTGTCTTAGTCTGGTAGTCTGGAAGCTCAGCTGAAACCCGTCTACCACGGGTGACCCTGCTGGTATTTGAATAACTACTGGTGTCGTAGCTTCCAGCATCACAGCAACACGCAAGCCCCCACAGTATGACAAATGACAGATGCATAGGGGCTGGGAAGGGTAGGAGAGAACAAGTAAGATAGAAGAGAAGGGCTGGGAAAGCCAGTAGAGCAAAGGAGTGGTCCACTGGAATTAACTACTTCTGACAGAGCAGTACTAGTTCTGTCTGCAGAATGGGAAAATGGAAAGAATTAGATTCAGAGAAGGCAAGCAACTTACTCAAGGTCGCACAGCACTTTAGGCCCAAATGAGGCATCCTAGGCCTTCACTGCATTACTTCTCCAGCTCCACCCACACTTCTGTTGCAACCAGGGGCCCTAGTATGGTGTCTAGGAGAGTGGGTCTGGGGCACAGTGGTAGCCTGATTAATGTCCCTCACCATCTTCCAGCGAGGAGCTGTGATTAGGCCTATTTATAGGGGCCTTGTGCCTTAATAATCTGCCTGGCACGTCTCTTGCCAATCAAATCAGTGCCGTCTGCAGTGTGATTGCTGCTTTAGTGGCACCAGGGAGCGGAGTTAATTAAACCCAGTATAAATAGACTCTGCCCTCGCCTTGCAATTCGAAGGAATGTTTTTCCCTTCTTGTTGCCTGCCCCCACACCCCCCTCCTTCCTCCTGAGCCCCCTTAGCTCTAGCCTGGGTGAGTAGAGCCGGGACACTTCTACCCAGAGTCAGTAGCCGTTACCTACCCTATCTCAATTACAGGCCCTGAGTACCTCAGGGGTCAAAATAGGAAGAACTCAGAGGTCTGTGTTTTCTGTGCTTTTCCAGGCTGGGATACCATTTGACAATTGATTCGGGCAGTTTCCCCCCTAAATCCATCATTCTAGCCTCCCATATACTCTTCAGCCAGGGCTTCTTGTTCACCCAGGCCTGGGAGATTGAAATGAGGTAATCTATGGAAATGGTGCCTAGCAGGTACCAAGCATCTTCTTAGGGGTCAACAAAGTTGTACCGTCTCTCAGCTTCAGGTCCCTAGTCCTGCCCTCTCCCTCATTCGTTCAACAAGCATTAACCAAACACCATCTTTTGTGAGCTCCTGTCTCCCATGCTCTTTCCCACCCCCCACCTGCACAGCTGAACCTGTGGCAGACTGTTGGGGTGAGAGGCAGGGAGGGGCTGTGCTCTCTTCTCCCGGCCCCTGTTCTGGGGTAGGTGAGCAGGGAACAATCCTGATGCTCTGGTTCCTACCCACAGGCACCATGACTCCCATGAGGACCCAGCACTCCTTGGTGGGCCAGACTTATGCAGTGCCTCTCATCCAGCCAGACTTGCGGCGAGAGGAGGCCATCCAGCAGGTGGCAGATGCCCTGCAGTACCTACAGAAGGTCTCTGGAGACATCTTTAGCAGGTGGGTGCTGCCTCCCACCCCCACCTGATCAGAGGGCCACCTGTCCTAGGTAGTTAGTTCTCTCTCCAGTCCCAGGAATGTACCTCTGGGGGCAGCCACGTTGGTGATTCCTGGTCCTAGGGGGACCCAGCTGGTTTCCCTGTGCCCCAGGAACCCAAGGTAGGAGCCCAGCTTGGAAGCCTTTTCTCATAAGTGCCTGAGAGCTCACTACTTACTGTCCCACTTAAATTCCTTGGGTCCCCATCATGGGACTGTTCTCCCAACTCATGTTCTTCCTTCTACTGTGATCACCTATCCCTCCACTTACTCCTTAGTCAACAAGTATTTATTGAACACTTCTGTACAGGGCATTGTGCTAATCTCTTTAGATACATCAGTGAGGAAGACAGAGTCCCTGCCCAACTAAAGAATGTACTTTGCAGGAGAGACAGACTTTGAACAACCAACTTTACGATTAATGATTTAATTACTATTGTGAGAAGTCATCTTTGTAATAATTTTTATGATAACTAATATTTTGATAGTATATACCATGTACTACCATTGATTTGAGTACTTTATATATCAACTCAGTAAGTTTATGAGGAAGTACTAGTGTTATCTCTATTTTTACAGACGAGGAAATTGAGGTACAGAAAGGTCAAGAGTCATGCCCAAGTGGCAGAGCCAGAGTTCAAGCTCAGGTATTGTGGCGCCAGATCCTGTGTTAGACTGTCTCTCTGTGAGAGGATATAAGGCGCTGTGAGAGTTATAATGGAAGGGCTGACTTCGCCTGGTGGGACCGGGGAATGCATGTATGAAGAAATGACAACGATAAAATCTGAAGAGTGAGTAGGAGTTATTTTGGATGGGTAGGTCAGGAAGAACAATGTTCTGGGAAGAAAGAAGGGCATGAGCTAAAGCACTGAGGTGGGAAGGACCTGAAAGGAAGCCTTTGTGGCTGGAGCAAGGAAGAGTGAGGGGCAGAGTATGCTCACAAGGCTGGTAAGGTGGGCAGGGCCTTAGAGGTCATTTTTTGAATCTCCAGCACTTACCTAGCACAGTCATTGAGCTACAGTAATTTCTCATTCATCTATGTTTATTTAGCATGAATGAATGGTGTTTGCTGTTTCCTTGCAGAGGTCTCAGATATGTGTTCTCTATATGGGTCTTGCCTTTCTTCGGCTGCAAGCAACCTGAGATGGGGCTTGGGTCTTCTTCCTGGGCACCACTGCCATGCCTCACACAGGGGACCTTTGATCCCACCCAGTGTAAAGTATTTGACTGCCTGACTCAGGTTCCTCTGACATTCCAGGTCACCCACCACCCTTCCCCTGGTTGTATCCCAGACCTGGAATCCTCTACTCCTTCCCCAGTTGGAAATCTGCCTCTTCCCAGAAGCCTTTCCAAACTAATGAGGAAAGAAAATGTGGTCATTGTCTCCAGTTGGACTTGGTGTAAACACCAGACCTCCTAGACTCTTCTGCCTCTTACCTGACCACTGAAGCACCTGTCTGCTCAAGCCCATTCAGAATGTAAATGTCACCAAGGGGCAGTGCCTTGCAGTGGTTAAGGGTGTTGTCTCTGGAGCAGATTGCCTGGACTCAGATCGGACTCTCCCATTTGCTTGCTCTGCAGCTTTGGGCGAGTTACTTAACCTTTCTAAACCTCAGTGTTCTCATCTGTAGCACTGTAATCGTGATAGTACTGTCCTCATAGGATTGTTGTAAGGATTAAAGAAATTAAAACATGGAAAGGAATTAATACACGTAAAACAGTACCAGGTACATAGTACACATGCATTGTTAGCTCTTGTTATTTTCTGCTGATACCATCTTTGCTCATATGCTGCCTCTGGTAGCCATCTACCAACCTGTGTTGGTAGATGCGTTAGGTGCCCCCTCTGTACTTATTTTTGTGCTAAATGTGCGCAAGGGACACATAGGAGGATACAGGTCTTTAAGAGCCATCAATCCCAGATTATGGCTACCTTATGTCCAATGCTAGAAGGGATGCCAAAACCACTCCACCAGGAATCTTTGTGGTTCCTCACCAGGTTTGTGACTGCATCTCTAAGGGGAGGTCAGACTTTGGGCAGACTTTCCTTTTCAGTCCTGGTATTAGGCAGTTTCATGTCCTGTCTATGAATGGGATGAGGCAAGGGCAGGAAAGCTCTCTCCTGAGGAGGGGAGTGGTGGATAGGGCCCTCCAAGTGGTTGGGCGTGGCTTGTGGAGGGTAGAATGCCTCTCAGGAGCCCTGTGTCTGAGCCTAGCTCCCACACGATCAGGTTCCAGGTCACCCCGTTGACCAACCCCCTCCGTGCACAGCGTTGAGCTAGATGGACCCTGTGAGGGACACCACAGATGTGTCTGACGTGGTTCCTGTCCTTAAGGAGTTTAGAGTCTAGTACGGGAAAATAGTAGGGCTGGGTTGATGCTTAGTTGCATAGCATGAACTGTGTGGGCTTCTGGGGATCAAAAAAAAAGGGAGAAAGAAGAATTGGAGCATTTGTCAGTCAGATCTCCCCAAAGTAGCTTAAGCCAAAAATAACCAGTCAGAGTTGAAGGGCTTAACTGATGTCATCAGGACCTGATTTTGCTCTCATACCAACCCAGCTTTGCTTCTTGTGAGTTGGCTCCGTTCCCAGACAGGCGTTGTTCTTCTGGTGGCAAGGTGACGACCAGTAGGGCCAGTGCTCATATAGTCAGGCTCAGGTCCAACAGGAGAGGGTGCCTTCCTCTGTGACAGTATTTCCTGTAGAAGTCACACTCACCTCATTGGCCTGGCTTTTCTCTCACGTCCATCCTAGAACTCATTACCAGGGCTAGTGGGATGTGACACACTGGCTTAGACCCAGGTCATGTGCGTCACTCCTAAGCCCCCAGGTTGAGCCTCCCTGAAGCACAGGGACTGAGCTTGGGAGAGATGGAGTCCCAGCAGGAAATGTGGGCCGCTGCTTGAGTAGGGGGTACGTGGATGTTAGAGAGGAAAACTGCATGCCCACTCCACATGTTCAGGGAGGGCCTCCTGGAGGGGAGGGGGCATGAATGAGGCTATAAGGAGGGACAGGCTGTGGTAAAGCAGGGTAGGAAGCTGGGTGTGCCGGTCATCTGGTGGGGTCTAGACATGGGGTACAGGTACAGAGAGAGGCCTGACCATGGCCTGGAGCACAGTGTGTCAGGGGCCTCCAGTGTTGGAGGGTTGGGGGGTGGGGGGTGGGCAGCTTGTACTGGCAGCAGAGACATTCTGCCTATCCCGTGCATTCAGTTCCTTAACTGCAGGGCCCTCTGTGTGTCTGTGGGTCTTCCTCCCCCTCTGGATTGTGGGGCCCAGGGAGCTCTGCCTTGGGCTTCTTCATGTCCTCCACAGTGCTGTGGGCCCAGCTGGGAGGGAGGGAGGATGGCAGATGGGATAGGTAAGTTAGGGTCCCTCGGGGCTCTCATCAAAGCAGTCTTAGGGAGCCTCAGTAGGTTCTTGAGCAGGGGAGTGATGGGACGGAAGAGTTTTGGGAAAGTTCGTCAGGCAGTCGTCACAGGGTGGACAAGAGGGGAGAAAGTGGATTGTGGGGACACACACGGAAGTTGTTGCTATAGTCAGGGCATGAAAGGGATGAGGATGTGGTCCAAGGGAGGTATAGGCAGGGACGGCTGGGTAAGAGTCATTTCAGAGGAAACAATGACAGGACATGATGACAGATTGGGAACAAAGGATGAAGGAGAAGGAGGAGCCAGTGATGATTGGGGGTGGGGAGTGCTGAGACATATCCTCATCTGCCTGCTCGCCCCCGCTCCTGCAGTAGCCAACAAGGATGTGGGCTTTTGTGGCAAGGAGGTGACTCCAGCTTGGATGCGCCCCACTCCCCAAACATGCGCCTCCTGCTTGGAAACCTCTTAGAAAGAGACAGGTGGGTAGAGGAGAGACACTGTCTGCCTCCCGACCCCATACCCCTCCCCATTTCAGGCCCAGGCATGGGGTGGCGGGGGCGGGGGGGGCGGTGCCCTGGGCCTCACTGGAGCCTGAGCCCGCCTGGTTCCGCAGGTAGGTGAGCTTGTGGAAAATTAGCATTCCAAGCTGGCCTCCTTCCTCCTGCTCTGCCACAGCAGGCAGCCTGCTGAGGAGCAGAGACCAGAGAGAATGACAAGTACCTCTCAGGCTGTCTTGTAACCTGCTCCTTCCAGCCCAGCCCCTCCCTGGCTCTCTTCTGCCCTGCTACCTGCCCCCATCTTCACCTAGGAGAACCCAGGCCCTGAAATACTTGCCCAGAGATGTCACCTGCTCCACATGACCTAGAGGATGAGGCAGGAGGCTTGGAGTGGCGTAGGGAACAGCAACTGGACAAATTCTGTGTGGTAGAAGTTGGATGCTGTCATCTGCCAGTTTCCGGTCAGCCCCAGCCTAACCACTTTGCCTGAGAAGCAGGAGCCACTTTGTAGCTCCTTCCTCCTAAGAAAGGGTTTATTTTCTCAGCAAAGCTCTTTTCCTTTCCTCCCTTCCTTTTTTCTTTCTTCTTACTAACTCTTCCCTTCCTTCCTTCTCCCGTTCCTCCTCCTTTTTCTCCCCCTTTCTCCCTTTTCCTCTCTCTCTTCACCTTCCCCATCCTTTCCCCTTTTCCTCAGTTCCTTTTCCCTATCTCACCCTTGCTCCATTTTCCCCTTCTTCCCTCCTCCTCCTCCTCCTCACTACTGATTGGCACTTGGTGGCCCCCAAGGTTACAAAGCACTCAATCAGCTGCCTGCATAATTAGCAGATCATTCTTAATTATCCCAGTGAGTGGGAAGATAAAGGGGAAGGCAAGAGCCCTGGTTCAGGGTCTGAGACAGAGGTTCAGGATGGATGAGAGGGCAGGGGAGGAAGAGCAGCAATTATGGGTCAGGAGTGGGTGCCCCCTCCTCCTGCAGCCTCTGTAGGACTGGCATCCTGATAGTGGTAGACCAGGGGCAGCCCTGGAGGGGCCCTGGGCCTGCCTGGCTTCATAGGAAACATTCTCATAATGGAATACGGGGACGTCTTTGAAGGTGGT